TTAGGTGCCGAGCCTTTGGTGCTGACTTTGTCACGTGGTAATCGGCTTGATGACGGAGATTGGCATTTTATTGAAGTGCGTCAGGAATTAAAGGTACAAGTTAATAACAGCTGGAAAAGTATTGTCGACAAAGCAGTATTATAAATATGAAGGAGCCAACGTTCATTGTTGGTACACAAAAAGCCATTACGTTGTTCCTTTTCTGTTTATCAAAAATTACAGTGCTTTGTCTCACTCATTTAGATGGCGTAACTAAACTTTTGAAATTTGCTCAAATTATACGTATTAACTTGGATGCAATCAGGGTACTCTAGAGCGCATTGGGTTCCTTTTTCTGGAGGGAACCTAACTACGTTGCAGCGGAACTCACGTCATGGCCTTTTACCTTTTTCTTATGATTAATGCAAGTTTTGGTGGCTTAACAGGCAGGTTTTTTACTTATTTTAAAGCGATGAATTTCTCGACTATTTATTGCTTAAATAAACACTAAAAAAGCCTTCATTGGTTGATTCATGTTGTTGAAGGAATAAACGCTAACCTGCCTGTGACTTAATATAATTGAGTCATAACTCAATTTTGCAAATTACAATTCCTGCCGCTGTTATTGTCCATTTCAGAAAACAATTGTTCCAAATCGGTTTCTTTTAGTTTTTCATTGAACCAATCAAAACCAAGACATTCGTCGATCTAAAAATTACCAGAAAATCTTTCAAACTGGTTAAGCAACCTAAAAATAGCACGTAAGCTTATTTTAATGATATTCTACAGCATTTTATTCGTGAGCTATGACGTCATCGCCGCTTATGTATATGCCTCAAATTTATGAGTTTCTCCCTCAAAAAGGACTAACCGGTGAGCCCTACACAGAGTCTATACTCCTAATTAGATAGAGCATCAGGAAACTTTTCGCTCTCAACTTTTTTCACAGATTATTACAGTTATTGTTGATCGCTGTGAGAAAGCACGTTTGGTTCAGTTAGGAGAAGAGTTGGTGGAAGATGAAAGTAATTGCAAAATAACAGGCAAAATTAGAGGAACAAACTAGTAAGTATACAATCAATCTCAGCTAATTTTCAGTCAATCTTCAACTACAGGCAGATTATGAGACCATACTAAAGTCACGTCCTCAGACATGCGCAGACAAGCCTTGCTTAAATGGAGGAATATGCCATGATGTGGAACCAGAAGGTTTGTATTGTCAGTGCTGTTATTGCCCTGGTGTTTCGTTGTGCGGTACGTTAAAGAGAACACCTCAGCCGAAACCATTTTGATCTTAAAACAATAACTGACCATGGTTGTAAAAAACCAAGCAAATAAACAAACTACCCACCGCCTGAGCTGAAAACCCTGCGGCTTCGTGTTCAAACTTACTTTCAATTTATTGACTTTCATAGATCTTTACTGCTTATGTATGCAATTCATTTTAGCAAGGTAAAAGGGAAAACATTGTGGTGCGATATAAATACGAAAAGAAATGTCGGCATGAGTCGCCTGCTTTTTTCAAATTTCTGCAGACTGTACTTAAGCAATGGTAACGAATTTTTGCTTCTACAATTTTTTAATGACCACAATTCAGTGCAGCAGAAACTAACACGAAGCCAGAGCTGAACCTACACTTAAAGAAGCAGCAGCAATATGATGTATATATCAGAAAGTTTATAGTGACTGCACCATTTACTATAAAAAAAAAAATTAGGTCCCTCTCATTACAATAAATAATTCACTACTTTATCTTCTCAGGATTCCTCTGCCAATGTAAACATACCTTCCGTGGTCTTGCCACTGGACCTCAATGTCAGGAAACGACTCGCACGTTCGAGGGCGGTTTGGGGACCTCTTACATCTGGCTTAAAACTTTGGTTGTGTACGAAAGGAGCGTTGTACAACTAGAGTTTATCACAACTACTGCAAACGGGCTTTTACTTTATCAAGGCCCTCTCACTGAAGGTGTGCCTTTCTGTTTATGAAAGCTAGTTTGGGTTTAGTCGCATAAATATAGGATAGCTCTACCTATTGTATTAATTTATGGACAAAGGGAAAACACAAGTGTATCCACCGAAACGTTGTTTATTTACTCTATAGCATTATTGTTCATCTTTGCCTCTAAGCTTGGCAAGGATAGCAGGAGGTGGGGTTGAGAATGTTTTTGAAATCTTTCTATTGAAAGTGTCGCGCTATCAACCGTGTTAACCACTATACATAGGAAAAGGTAAGCGTATCCTTGGCCTCTCCGTTTGGCGATGAAAGTAGGAGTTGGAGTACTATATGAATTAGCATTCCAGTTTTGACTGACTAACCATTTGCCATCATTCGTGTAGTGTTTCGATTCATTTGATATAATTACTTATACACAGTAGTAATTCATCCGTTATAGTAAAATACCAAAGAAAGCTGTATGAAGAGGCTCTAATATTTACGAAATGGTTATGCACTTTTCTCCTTCCACAGTCAGCGCTAGTGAGTCACTTGATTTCATGGCCATTATTCTGTACGATGGGTTCATCCGTGTCCTCATATCATTAGGTGCCGAGCCTTTGGTGCTGACTTTGTCACGTGGTAATCGGCTTGATGACGGAGATTGGCATTTTATTGAAGTGCGTCAGGAATTAAAGGTACAAGTTAATAACAGCTGGAAAAGTATTTTCAGTCAATCTTCAACTACAGGCAGATTATGAGACCATACTAAAGTCACGTCCTCAGACATGCGCAGACAAGCCTTGCTTAAATGGAGGAATATGCCATGATGTGGAACCAGAAGGTTTGTATTGTCAGTGTTGTTATTCCCCTAGTGTTTCGTTGTGCGGTACGTTACAGAGAACACGATCTTTACCGCTTATGTATGCAATTCATTTTAGCAAGGTTTATTGTGTAAAAAGGGAAAACATTGTGGTGCGATATAAATACGAAAAGAAATGTCGGCATGAGTCGCCTGCTTTTTTCAAATTTCTGCAGACTGCACTTAAGCGATGTTAACGAATTTTTGCTTCTATAATTTTTTAATGACCACAATTCAGTGCAGCAGAAACTAACACGAAGCCAGAGCTAAACCTACACTTAAAGAAGAAGCAGCAATGTGATGTATATATCAGAAAGTTGATAGTGACTGCACTATTTACTATAAAAAAAGATTAGGTCCCTCTCATTACAATAAATAATTCACTACTTTATCTTCTCAGGATTCCTCTGCCAATGTAAACATACCTTCCGCGGTCTTGCCACGGGACCTCAATGTCAGGAAACGACTCGTACGTTCGAGGGCGGTTTGGGGACCTCTTACATCTGGCTTAAAACGTTGGTTGTGTACGAAAGAAGCGTTGTACAACTGGAATTTATCACAACTACTGCAAACGGGCTTTTACTTTATCAAGGCCCTCTCACTGAAGGTGTGCCTTTTTGTTTATGAAAGCTAGTTCGGGTTTAGTCGCATAAATATAGGATAGCTCTACCCATTGTATTAATTTATGGACAAAGGGAAAACACAAGTGTATCCACTGGAACGTTGTTTATTTACTGTATAGCATTATTGTTCATCTTTGCCTCTAAGCTTGGCAAGGATAGCAGGAGGTGGGGCTGAGAATGTTTTCGAAATCTTTCTATTGAAAGTGTCGCGCTATCAACCGTGTTAACCACTATACATAGGAAAAGGTAAGCGTATTCTTGGCCTCTCCGTTTGGCGATGAAAAGAGGAGTCGGAGTACTATATCAATTAGCATTCCAGTTTTTGAATGACTAACCATTTGCCATCATTCGTGTAGTGTTTCGATTTCATTTGATATAATTACTTATACACAGTAGTAATTCACCCGTTATAGTAAAATACCAAAGAAAGCTGTATGAAGAGGCTCTAATATTTACGAAATGGTTATGTACTTTTCTCCTTCCACAGTCAGCGCTACTGAGTCACGTGATTTCATGGCCATTATTCTGTACGATGGGTTCATCCGTGTCGTCATATCATTAGGTGCCGAGCCTTTGGTGCTGACTTTGTCACGTGGTAATCGGCTTGATGACGGAGATTGGCATTTTATTGAAGTGCGTCAGGAATTAAAGGTACAAGTTAATAACAGCTGGAAAAGTATTNACATAGGAAAAGGTAAGCGTATTCTTGGCCTCTCCGTTTGGCGATGAAAAGAGGAGTCGGAGTACTATATCAATTAGCATTCCAGTTTTTGAATGACTAACCATTTGCCATCATTCGTGTAGTGTTTCGATTTCATTTGATATAATTACTTATACACAGTAGTAATTCACCCGTTATAGTAAAATACCAAAGAAAGCTGTATGAAGAGGCTCTAATATTTACGAAATGGTTATGTACTTTTCTCCTTCCACAGTCAGCGCTACTGAGTCACGTGATTTCATGGCCATTATTCTGTACGATGGGTTCATCCGTGTCGTCATATCATTAGGTGCCGAGCCTTTGGTGCTGACTTTGTCACGTGGTAATCGGCTTGATGACGGAGATTGGCATTTTATTGAAGTGCGTCAGGAATTAAAGGTACAAGTTAATAACAGCTGGAAAAGTATTGTCGACAAGGCAGTATTATAAATATGAAGGAGCCAAAGTTCATTGTTGGTACACAAAAAGCCATTACTTTTTTTTTTTTTTCTGTTTATCAAAAATTACAGTGCTTTGTCTCACTCATTTAGATGGCGTAACTAAACTTTCGAAATTTGCTCAAATTATACGTATTAACTTGGATGCAATCAGGGTAATGTAGTGCGCATTGAGTTCCTTTTTCTGGAGGGAACCTAACTACGTTGCAGCGGAACTCAGGTCATGGCCTTTTACCTTTTTCTTATGATTAATGCAAGTTTTGGTGGCTTAACAGGCAGTTTTTTTATTTCTTGGCTATTTATCGGTTAAATTAACACTAAAAAAGCCTTCATTGGTTGATTCATGTTGTTGAAGGAATAAACGCTAACCTGCCTGTGACTTAATATGATTGAGTCGTAACTCAATTTTGCAAATTACAATTCCTGCCGCTGTTATTGTCCATTTCAGAAAACAATTGTTCCAAATCGGTTTCTTTTAGTTTTTTATTGAACCAATCAAAACCAAGACATTCGTCGATCTAAAAACTACCAGAAAATCTTTCAAACTAGTTAAGCAACCTAAAAATAGCACGTGAGCTTATTTTAATGATATTCTACAGCATTTTATTCGTGAGCTATGACGTCATCGTCGCTTATGTATACGCCTCAAATTTATGAGTTTCTCCCTCAAAAAGGACTAACCGGTGAGCCCTACACAGAGTCTATACTCCTAATTAGATAGAGCATCAGGAAAATTTTCGCTGTCAACTTTTTTCACAGATTATTACAGTTATTGTTGATCGCTGTGAGAACGCACGTTTGGTTCAGTTAGGAGAAGAGTTGGTGGAAGATGAAAGTAATTGCAAAATAACAGGCAAAATTAGAGGAACAAACTAGTAAGTATACAATCAATCTCAGCTAATTGCATACGTATCGGAGATGGTGATCGTATGCGCGTTAAATACATGTAAAAATGAGATAATAATACTGATACTACTGACCCATAGGAGACAAGTGAAATCTTGCAGGTGAAACAAACTAGTCTCATGATTATGTGACCACAGTTTGGCTAGTGTAGAGCCCACCGCCTCCCCCCACCTCCCCCTAAAACAACATCTATGTCTTAATCCTTTTCTGGTTTCCCCCGAAAAGCCTTTGATTGGCTCTTCATGTTAATGTCATGACGTAACTTATTTTAGGTGTAGTGATTGTGAATGAATGCAGATCATGCATAATTTCTCGGGAAAAACCTCAGCGTTTGCGGACGTAACCAAAACAGTTCTTGTGACTTGTATTGTGGCCTATTTATCACCCGGCTCACGCATCATTATTGCCATTGGGCCGCTATTCAGGCGCTCTAGAGTGTCTGCGATCAAGGCTATTTTGGCGTTCTCAAAACAAAAGTGTGAAGTTAGATAACTAACAACAGTTATTAAATACATTCTATGGGTTTTATCATTTTACTCACAATATCATAATTCTTAACCGCATCTTGAAGCATTATGACTTGTTCTGTTTTAAAGATAAGAATTCAAATGAACATCATTATCATCTAAGTATACTTCGCAGATGTTTTCGGTGTCGTTATATTTATTAAACAACAATGGAAAAAAAGGTGGAAAGATCTGTGTTTTAAACCCCTAGTTTATATATATATATATAACTTCACAGAAGTTCAGGTTTCACGAGTAATGCTCCTCAATCAATAGAGTCGAGCGCTCTACGAAATACGTTCTACTCAGAAAACGAATTTATATATATATATAAATATATATATATATATTTTTTTTTTCAGCTATCTCAACAGTCTTTGGCCACTTCAGATCGGAGGCGTAGAAAATTCTGGCATTGCCTATCCTAATCTCAATTATACTGGTTTCAATGGCTGTATACGAAAAATAACCAATAACAATCACATGTACGATCTGAGGACCCCACTGAAAGTAGTAAATGCACCTGAAGGGTGCCAGAAGGCTACCGGATGTCCGTACTGCAACAATCAAGGGTACTGTGAACCCTACCTGACAAAGTCAGGGGTGTGTGTCTGTGATGTTGGATACTCTGGAAGAAACTGCTTAACAGGTTAGTCTTCGCCTGCAGTTTGTGTGCTCCTGTTATGTGATTAACCACTGAGTCTAAAAATTGATCACTTTTTACGTGTTTCTTAAGACGTTACAATCTAACGTCTCAAGGACACCTACTTAACAAAGGCACTTTTTTATTGCTGACAACTCACCCTTTTTCCACAAATGAGGATCGATTAGGATTCCCTATTCCTTGATACGCATACATTTTTTCTTTTTTTAAAATATTATCAATAAAAATAGTATAAATTTACGGTTAAAAATAAAGTATTTATGAGAATAAGCAAAGACAGGGAATCCTCGTTACGGAAACGTTGTCAGCTGTAATCAGCAACGAAGATGTGCCTGTGTCAAGAAAGTGTACGTAAGACATTCACATGACGTCACGGCGGCCATATTGCTTTTCCAAAACAATGAAACGGCGGCCATGTTGGTGTTCCATACCAATCCTGTGGGAGTTGAACTTTTTTTAAGTAAACGCTTTCCTTTGTTCCAATAAATTTACATAGATGCTAGCCACGTGAGTGAAAACTTGTTCATTATACCTTTTCTGTGAATAAGTTCCCCATCGACACTTTTATGATCCACACTTTAGTTTTTTCTTGGGAGTTAAAAATTGTCAACATATCTATTCGCCAAACTTTCAGCCCATTGAAATTTTTATCAATTGGTTTCGAGATACTGCGATGTTACAGTTACAGAATACTGAGGATCAAAAGAAAGTCAACCCTGCGTAGGCCATTCTAAACCAATCAACATAATCTTTACTCATATTTTGCATTTTCACTGAATAGCTGCAGTTGGTAATTACTATTTGGAAAACAGTTACTCCCAGTACTCTGTAACATCGTGGGGAACGTCCTCCTCCTCCTCCTCCTCCTCCTCCTCCTCCTCCTCATCATCATCATCATCATCATCATCATCGTCGTCGTCGTCGTCGTCGTCTTCGTCTTCGTCATGGTCGTCATCATCGTCGTCCTCATCATCCTCAACGCTATCAAGGCGGCGACGTGATACTCTTCCAGCTCCCCAACCTATAACAAGTGAATATTTCACTGACATTGGTCTCAAGATGAAGGCCAAACCAGGAACGAATAACAGCCTGATATTTTTGTCAACTAACAGCCTTGGAACAGAGTTTGTCAGGGTTGACGTAAGTTAAATGCAGATGTTCCATACCTTCTTCATTATCATGCTTTGCTTGTACGAAGTTTCCCAAGTTGATTAACAACATCTAAGGAAAAGAAAGGCTATCTCAAGGAAAAGAAAGGCAAAGTGCTCTCATGATTAATCGTTGTTAAAGTTTTTACAGACATAACATTTTAGGATTTTTTTTTTTTTTCACAATACTTGATGTATAATGTCACAATTGATTTTCACTCTTAACGTTTTAGGATTTTTAAAGTTTTACAACTAAGGATTTTTAAAGTTTTACAATACTTGATATATAATGTCACAATAGGCTAGAAATTTAATGATTTTCAATCGGCAGTTTCATAATGTAAAGCGCATTGAGGATAGAAATGCGCTTAATAAGAATCTATATTATTATTATTATTATTGTTATTATTATTATTATTATTATTATTATTATTATTATTTACTGTGCATTTGAAGGTGTGTGGTAAACTGCCTGGACTGAAACATTACAACATGATATCCGTGGAAACCGTTTCCAGTGCAACGTCTCATTTTCCAACTCTTGTCCCAGTTTCATCTTCTTCATAATCTCTGGGTTTTGAATTTGCCGAACCATTTCTACTCCTAATAGTATGTAATACAAGCAATTAATGAACTTAAAATCGCAACATCTTCAGACATATGTTTTTTTTTATTTTTGCAGCTGCATGACAAAGAAATTCGATGCATCTTCCGACTGGCAGGAAGAACAAAAATTCTCCACCTCAAAGGAGTAAACGTCACTGATAACAAATACCACACGATCATTGTAAAAAGGCTGGGTAATTATGCCACACTACAAGTTGACTATGCAGGAAAGGTAGACGGAAGTACAGGAGGATCAAGTCACCTCATGAATCATGGTGGAGGAGCTCTTTTTGCAGGTATTACTATACGTTAGTATTTGATTGGTTTGCATAATTTCGTAGCAGTGCACACAGAAAACGTTCGTCAATAGCTCACAAGGAGGTGTGATACTTGGTTAACGCTATGATAAGGAATAATCGAAAGGTTTTAACGGCTATACGTATGGGTATGTAGTCACGATATACGTTCTGTTTTATCTTTAAGCCATTGGCCATTGTGAAGAAACAAAACTGGATATATATTGAGTTATGAGCGGCGCTTGTGAATCTGTTCATTTGTCCCAGTATCCTATATGAAAACACCTCGGTGAAAAAGGAAGCTTTAATGAAAATACAACACTGAGTGTAGCAAATCTTTTGTAGGTGGACTGAGAAGATTAACAGCCTTGAAGGTGATGCGAGCTATTGTACAAAGCCACGGAAAAGCCATCGTGCAGACGGCCAGTGGAAGCCTTATATCAACGTATTCAGCATTTTCTGGTTCTTCCTTAACTGGAGTGAACTTGATAACAATTGACAAGCAAGGGAACGTTCACGTTAAAAAGATCAAAAACGCTACTCTGATCAGGATGTACCAAAAACACACCATTCGATCTATCTTTAATGAAAGTTCTCAAAAAATTGTCATTGGAAGTGCGGGGGTTAGTGTTACACAAGTGCGACTTAGCAACAACAGTCTTCAAAGTGTACAGCAAATAATACAGAGAAGACAACAGCAAAACGCAGGTGCGTCTGTCAATGGTGGAAACGCTGCCTTCGTTGGAGGGAGACTTAATATCGCGGGTGGCTATGGCTCAAGTTTTCAATTAAGGAAATCTGGCGGAGGAAATGTTGCAAACAAAGAGGGCGTCGATGAATCATATGGAGGTAGGTCAGGTGGTTTGCTTACTAGGACATACAATTCTTTATCAAGTGGTCATTCTAAGAAAATAGCCAACATGCATGTTACACAGTGATAAAGGTTAGCAACTTACTACAGAATTGATTAGTCTAAAAGTAAATTAAAGGACAATATATAATTGATTAAAGAATATTATCTTTAGACAGAATAAGGAATCACAAATGGTATCTGTCTTGCCATTCCACGAAAGAAAACAAATACTTAAAATTATTAAGGTTTTGTTTATGCTGAGTGTACACGAGGTATGATACAGACCCATAAAATGTTGTCTTACGACAAAATGAAGCATTCAGTGATCATGTATAATATGAAACGTAAAGCTTTTGGTGAATATAGCGCCAAATCACATAATATTTCATTCACAGGCTGCATTCCACAGAATCGACTTAACTACTTTGACCTGGATGACAAAAACAGTAATGATGTGAGAGCTGAGCGCCAAAACGTCGTATTTGGTTGCCCATGTGAAACCGGAGAATGCGCGAATAATGGCACCTGCATTCTCAAGAACAGCACGACGCTGGTGGAAAATTCTACAACATCCTGGAAAATGTGTAAATGCGTTGGAATTTGGACTGGTCCTCGGTGCCAGAAAAAAGATGACCTTGTATTGGGTCTTGCTCCACGTGAGTATTTTGTAACAACTAAGGCTATGTAATTATATTTTTTCAGTTGTTATCTCACAAATTCAGGTACGTTTTAAAGTATTTTTAACTTCATAAAGCAATACTCATGTCTGTTTTTCGTCTTAGAGAGGTGTCCGTCTTATAGAGGGTATAGTTACAGTAAAATGACTAAAAAACGGTAGGGACCAAAACCAGGTGTCCATCTTAGAGGGGTGTCCATCTTATAGAGGTGTCCGTTAAGAGAGAGTTGAATGTAAACCCATCATCATGCAGAGACAAGAATTCAGAATAAAGAGGTACTAAAGAACTTGAGAGGAGCCCTAAGTATGTCCCCAATGTTTAATCGTTCTGCTAAGAATTAAAACCCATTGATGCACCTCTTAAATACAAACTTTCAGAAACTTTGTGAAAAGGTATTGACTGGGAATTACTAAGAGCAACTTATGAGTTGTCCCATTTATTGGATTATTATACACTGTAGTCACCATCTGTCTTCTCATTGGCTAAAAGCCTACAGTTAATTCTGGAAAACAGCGCAACCTACAGATTATTCACTAATTTGTACCTACAGATTAGTGAATAATCTGTAGGTTGCGCGCGCAATGCATGATTTCCAAGAACAATGTCAAGTGCCCGGACAGCAATGTCAAGTTCGCGGACAGCGAAGTAAGAATGGCTTCTCGATTCGCTTTATCGACCCAGCAAGAAATTGAGAAATTACTTGAAGATAAAGTATAATAAAAACAATTATTAGATTCGGTTTTGTGATATCCGGAATAATCAAGGTCTCGGTTAGTGTTATCAGCCGAAGCTTGATTATTCCGGATATCACAAAAACCTCATCCAATAATTGTTTATGATTACATGAATTTTTCTTTAACAGCTGAACAAGTCCCGACCGGTCCGTCATGGGTGTGGAACGCCGTGCTGGCTTTTCTTCTTCTTCTTCTTATACTCCTGCTCCTACTGGGTCTTTACCTGCTCTGTAAGAAATGCAGAAGCGATGCCGTGGACGGCACGTCACCATTGAAACCTGCCGAGGCCGTATTACCAGGGGGACACGGAACAGTCAGGTCTTACTCGGACGTTGGGGCTGGAGAAGAGGATAGCACAGACTATGATTTACGTCATCTGATGAAATACATGTATACTGAACGAATACACGGAGGGATCGATCTCGCACACGAGCATGAATACGCGAGTATCAGAGTTTACAAAGACCATGGGGTGCGAGGAACAGACAATCACCAGTTTGACCTTCGGGAACTGATGTCGTACAAAACGTACGTAGGTGGCATTTTAAAGAAGCCATGGACATGTTTTTATTTTTACTTTGACTGATTCTTTTTGTCCCTGAATTCTAAAAGAGGCTTCGAGAAATTGTATGTTAGTGTATTAGACCAAATTTCAAAAACCGTTTGTTGTCTGTTAATATAAGGTTTTCAGAAAAAGCGTAGAAAAGAAAAAGCAACATGGTAGTTTAGTTGTATGAATCTCAGTCTTAAATGCTGGATACAGTTCCCAGAGATTCGCTATTGTGATTCAGTAAGCAAATTAATGATTATTGTGTGAAACGACATGGGACTGAACTAATGAAGGTTTTATTCAGAGCTATAGTTACTTATTTCTCACCACAGAAAGAATTCCATTTTCCCATTTGTTTCCTTATTTTTTTGACATCTTTCTCTTAGGCATCACGTGATAACACACACGGTGGAAGAGAAACCTTTAGGAACTGGCAATCCAGGCTTCCACGGTTCAACTCCGGCAGTGACAAGTAACCTTCACAGTGTAATAGTGCATCGCATAACACATGCAGATAGTAACCCGTCTCTGTCACATGACGAGATGCACTGGTTCGAGGATGAGGGAATGGACCCTGATGTGGATGACTTGAGCCAATTGGAAAGTGAAGACGAGGAGGACGTGGACCAACCAGATGATTGGTTCAGTCACTTTATAAGTCTTGGAAGCGCCTGACCGACTCGTTGCCATAATGGAAGGGTCTTGGTGGTCACGACTGTCTGACTCACTGTTCAGCTGATCATTTACAAAATAATTAGCGACGGATTCATTGTTTAATTCAAAACGTTTATTGCTAAATACAATGCATTACAGTATTTTATTGGACGCATGAGTGGGTATTGTTACGAGCCTGAAATGAGTATTTCAAAACAAGGGGTTTTTATTACTTTTTTCCTTTCCACCAAAATACAAGGTACAATAAAGTCCTTTTGCGTAATTGCAAAATTGCAAAAACGTATTCGTTTTTTCGTCTAAACTTCAAACTACACGTGTACTGAAGCTAAGGCTAATGGGAAAAATCTAGCATAGTTCTCTCTCATTCCCACAGATTCGGTCAATGCGAAGCTCGAAGGCCTTCGACATAATATATCTGCTGAAGTGTAAAAGTCCTTATTTGTATTGCCTTTGGGTCTCTGTTGTCGAAGTCATCGAAATCTCAAATCTATAAGATTTCACCTGAAAAAAAGGAAACAAACCTGCCGCACTATACTATTCACATCAGATATTAGTGGTTGGCTTAATGTGTGATCGTAAATCCTATGTTTGTTGAAACTGATGCATCGAGTAGTCTTTGATAAACCTTTCTTTACGCATGTTGGCTGTGAGGGATATTGCGTCTGTTGGTTAAGTTCGACAAGGTCTGCCGTGCTACACCACTCAACCACTCTGCAAACGTAGTGATTCAAACGCCGAGAAATGTTTATTATCATTATTTTTTTTTTCATTTACAGCTATTATAGTATGTTCACAAAGTTCTAGCACGACGTCTGAATTAAACCCAATACCAGCTGTGTTCGGCACGGCAGAAGCACGAAATAAGATAAGTCTCTGGTTAAAAATCGTCCATGATTTTAGGTGGTCTTCTGGGGGTTGTATTGCAGTGTTCTTGGAAGTTGAGGGCTTGGCCCGGGTGCTTTTTAACTTCTCGATTATAAGACGATTTAGAAGGAAAAAGGAACGAGAAGAGTTTATACATGGTTTGCAAAATGCAACGGTTAATCACGTTTACACCGGAAACTACAAAGATGTCAGTAAAAACAAAACACGCTAGTAAGTAATATTATTATTAGATTGAATACGATTTTATGAATAAAACAGAGGTACAAAATGGTTGTTCTTTATCCCTTTACCATAGACACAAAATTCAGAAGGGGAGAGTTTTGAATTCAGCTCTAGGTCCCGTGCCCACGTATCAGGTCGATCAGTACTTTTTGAATCCGCAGTTTTATTTTGCGGATTGGCCTTCCTTTTACACGTATCCCATTCAAAGCGTCATTGTTCTCCAAAGGTGATTTTCCGTAGTCAGAAGGAACGGAAAGTTTTCAGAACGATGACGTCCGGTGTGTCATGATATCTTCTGTCGGATGAGAATGTTTCACTAATAATTCCTCTTTTTTAAGAATTTTAGTTGTTGATTTTTTAAAGCAAAATGTTCACGTTTGCCACTTCAAATAGGACTTACTCAATCAATCTGCTTTTACGGGCTTGTCACAGTGTAGACGCGAATTTTTTTGAATCCGCAACGGGAAATTTGTAGCAGAACCCTCGCGCGCGAGGCACGCGCAGCGGAGCACCATGGGTAAGAAAATTTAGTTAGCAGGAGAATAAGAGAAAGTAGCTGGCATGTGTTTCCCGGCGGGGCCGGTAGGGAAAGACATATCACTATTGATATAAACAGTTCAATCCGGGTTAGTAGCAGCTGTCGAACATGATAGCATCGATACTGCGTCTCAACTACTAAGTGAAACTTTGGTGGAAGCATGTAAAGAAAGCGGAGGGAAAGCGGGAGGCAGCAAAATTAATTGCAAACCACAAAATAAATGATTCGATCAGGTCGAGGAACACATATCACGAGGGATATGTGTTTCCGGAGTAAGGGAACACATATCACAACGAATATGTTACCCCACCTGGGAAACACGTATCAAAAGGGATATGTGTTTCCCAGGTAGAGGAACACATATCACTAGGGATATAGGTTTCCCAGATAGGGGAACATATATCACTAGGGATACGTGTTTCTGTGTTTCCCAGTTAGGGGAACTCATATCACTTGGAATATGGGTTTTAGGAGTAAGGGAACACATATCACAACGAATATGTTACCCCACCTGGGAAACACGTATCAAAAGGGATATGTGTTTCCCAGGTAGAGGAACACATATCACTAGGGATATAGGTTTCCCAGATAGGGGAACACATATCACTAGGGATACGTGTTTCCCAGGTAGGAGAACACATATCACTAGGGATACGTGATTTGGGGAAACGCATATCACTACGGATATTTGTTTCCCAGGTAGGGAACACATACCACTGGGGATAAGTGTTTCCCAGGTGGGAGAAAGATATCACTAGGGATATGGATTACATAGGTAGGGGAACACATATCACTAGGGATATGTGTTTCCCAGGTAGGGCAACGCATATCACTAGGGATATGGGTTTCCCAGGTAGAGGAAAACATATCATTAAGGATATAATGTGTTTCCCAGGTAGGAAAAAATATATCCCTGGCGATACGTTTATCCCAGGTGTATATAACTAGGGATATGTGTTTCCCAGGTAGGGAACACATATTACTAGGGACATGTGTTTCCCAAGTGGGGGAACACATATCACTAGGAATATGTGTTTTCCAGGAAGGTGAACATAAATCACTAGACATATGTGTTTCGCAGTTAGGGGAACACATATTACTAGGGGTATGTGTTTCTTAGTAAGGGGAACATAAATCACTAGGGATATGTGTTTCCCAGGTGGGGGAAAACATATCCCTAGGGATATGTGTTTCCCAGATAGGGGAACATAAATCACTAGGGATACGTGTTTCCCAGGTGTGGAACACATAACACTAGGGATATGTGTTTCCCAGGTGGGGGAACACATATCACTAGGGAGGCGTGTTTCCCAGGTAGGGGAACACATATCACTAGGGATATGTGTTTCCCAGGTGGGGGAACA